TTTATGAAGAAGAGTGGGAAAGCTGCTCTGTGTTTCCGCGCTTTCATTTTCAGCAGTACAAGGACAGACAATGATTATTACTGATTTGCAGCGTATCTGTCTAGATCAATTCAAAGTAACCTGAACGACAGAGTTCGTTGTATCGTGACGGATTCAGAGGCGGCAATAAATCAGATCAGCATGCTTTCGCTGCTCGTGGACCCTTGCAGCCACGTGCTGTGCGAGCTGCATCTGCGTTCAAACGTTGAAATGCTACTGAAGCAGTGTGACGCGAACAAGGAAGTTCGAAACGAAATAACAGCAATAATATTTGAGCAAGAATTGCAAATGGTACACGGAAGAGAACGAAAATGCGATACGTTTGACATTAAATGAGCTAGAATTATAGATAATTTCAATCTTTAATGTTTCAAATCCACACAGTCTGTCATTCCAGGACTCGTTGACAGCATTTCGAGAGAAGGTTTTATGCAATGCATAGAGCGCGAACGCGACTACTGGGAAACGCTGTGCAGTGGCTTCACAGAGAACTTCATAAGGAACGTTGTGCCACAGATCTTGTCAGGCATGTAACTACTTCATGTGCACCGCTTTATTATAGTTTTTTGTGGACGAGGCTACGATTTCTCTTTTCACGCAGAAGTTCAACAAATCCTGACAGTTCATCAACCAGTAGCACGACTGGAAGTCAAGCTTTCGAAACTCAAGTTAACTGAATTCGATGGAGACCTGAGAAAATGGAGAGAATTCAGCGCACACTTCAGATCAGCAGTAGGATAACTTCCTACTATCCAAAAGTTGAATTACCTGAGATCCTGCCTCAAAGATGTGGCAGCCAAAGCAGTTGAAGGATATGAAAACTGCGAGGAAAATTATCAAGTTATCTGGAATCTCCTTCAAGAGCGTTTTGGAAATACAACGGCACGCAAACACGACTTGTACAATGAGCTTCAGGGCATGAAGCTAGACGACAGGGATTTCAGAGAAACAGTAGAAAACGCAGAAAGAATTCTGCGGCAAGCCGGCAATTTGAATCCCTCGGCGAGTCACTCGAACAACCATATCTGGAGATGTTGATTAAGAAGCGGATGCCCTCGTGGGTGCTAGCAGAGGTGTATACAGCAAAAGGAAGGAGTCCATAGTGGAGCACTGCAAGCTTGAGGTCACATTTAGAAATGTTGGCCAGAAGAAAAGAAATCGATAGAACAAAAGAATTGCGACAGCCGTTTGCAACAGGAAGAAGACCAATCAATTCCAAGGCAATGGAGGTGATTCATAAACCAACGTCTGCGCTTTCAGCGATAGGGAAAGGGCAGAACAGGACGCCAGCAAAGCCTTGCGCCTTTTGTGGCAACAG